AGACCTAGACCTAGACCTAGACCTAGACCTAGACCTAGACCTTGACCTTGACCTAGACCTAGACCTAGACCTGTATAACCTACCTAGCTCCTCCTCTACTGAGAGTGCTGTAAGCTGGAATCCTGTATTAGTTGACCCTCCACTAGTAAACTCGATCCATAGATTGTTAGAGTGTCCTAAAAATAAGAGAAATATATTTATTTCTAAACTAATCTTAAAAACACACTATTTTATTTTATTCTATATTATTATCTTATCTTCTTTTCTATACTTTTCGATTCTATTCTATTATATTTCCTTCATCCTACTGGATTCTAATCTAGTCTTTCTATTCTATTCTATCCTAACCTATCTTATTCTATCACAGCCTATCTAGCCTAACCCTCCCTAACCTGACCTAACCTAGCCTACTGTATACTATCCTAACCTATCCTACTATATCCTATCCTTTCCTAATCTATCCTACCCTATTCCTCCCGATCCTATCTGTTCCTATCCTCTGTATCCTATTTTATCCTGACCTATCATATCCTCGCTTATCCTCTTTATCCTTTTTTATTCTTTCCCTACCTATCCTAGTTTATCCTATCCTATCCTATCCTATAGTTGGGTTCAGCTCGGAACCTATCAGGAAATGAGGATAAATTGTTTCCGATCTAGGAGTATAATTCTTTCAGAAATAAATAGAGATAATTATAAAATTTATTTAAACCCTTTCAAGGGACCATGCACTGCAACCTCTCATACAAAATATGAGCAGAATTTTTCCAACTACTCCTTTCCAACTTAAGCTAGAAACAAGCGCGTTGTGTTTTTTTTAAATGCATAGGTCTAGGGCTACAAAAAATAATAAGCGAGATGTTAAGGTAAAATCAAAGGCCAAGGCGTAGTGACACTTTAAAGTCGCAACTGTCAAAAATTTGGTGACGAATGTTTAAAGTTATAACAAGGATATTACATTTATTGTTGATCATAACTTCAATAACTTTTGAACATCCTGACATAGCATTACATAATTATATATCGTAATAATAAGATAAAAAAATATTTTCTTCTTTAATTGTTCAATACTCCCAGATTGGTGTGTACACAGGGGGGGTAGGAGACGGGTATAAACAAACAAATTAAACAGAAGTTACTAAAAGACAGAATGGGAATTTCTAACTAAGGAATTGAGTCTTTGCGACAAACTTAATTTTCCTGAACCCTATATCGTGCAACCCAATGTTGTAGACCTTTAATATTTTAAACTATGAATTATGTTAGATCAAATAATTTAAGTTTGAAGTTTAACACAATCTGGTTGCACAGATAAGACATTTCAAAGAGTTTTCTGAAGATATATAAATTGTCATCAAAAAGTTATTTTTTTTGTTATTAACATTCAAGTTCTGTCAATGTAAAACTACCTACAACGAAGCACTGCAGTCTGTATTATTTTCAGTCATATCTTGGTCTCTCATTCAATAAATTGGTGGAAATATCTTTTTTTAACAATTTATTTTTTAATTGAAATTTTTTTATTTTAAAAAGAGCAGTGAATGTTCTTGTCTGACTGTTGTATTTTCTTTTTAGCTGATCATAGATCTGTTTTCTGTTCCTCTCTTTTAGATCTACATATTCTAATATCTTGTAGACAAGGGGAAAATACATTTTGACACATATTTCTGATTTTCTTTCTCCCTTATATTGTAGAAAATAAGTAGATATCAGATGTATTTGTAATTTTCAGTTGTATTGCTTATCCAGAAATGTCAGACTAAACAACTGATTGAAGGTCAGGCCTTCAAACACATATTTCTAAATATTTTCTGTTAGATGTGAAATGGAGACAGTTTCTCGAGGCAGAGACATCAGATAGAACTATAATTGGTTGGGATCAATGCCTAAAATTGCTAGGTTTTTGCCTATACCCCTTTAATTTACATTAACAGTCCCTTTAAGAAATAATCAATAAGAATTTTGCTACCTGTGATTTGTTAAAAGGAGTGTTTGCGAAAATTAAAAGGGGGGTATAGGCTTACGTCGAAAAATAATTGCTTTTGATTGCTACTTATTTTTCTTCTATCTGTTGCGTATTGTTAAAAACGACATATACTGAAGAACATAGCATCCATACAAATTCAGAAAGTTGCAATATATGTCTCAGATCGTAAAAATCAATTTAATTTCAAACAAATCATTCAAATATTACTACCTATAAAGTCATCGATTATTTTTCGACACATTCGTATATGTTTAATATTTCATAATATTTTTTATTCGTTTTGTATACATGCACTTAAACCACCGAAACAGTTGGCCGCCAGTTGTCTCTGCTCTCGATGCCTTGAATTATTACACATGGCAGAGACACCTAGCAGAAAAAAAGATGTTTTAAGTGCAGTGTATATATAACAAATAACAAATATTATAAACTATTAACTTTATACGAAGGCATCGAAAAATAATTGATGGCTTTAGGTTCAACTATCTGAATGGTTTGTTTGAAATTAAATTGACTATTTTACGATACGAGTCATAAATTGACTATTTTACGACACGAGTCATAAATTGACTATTTTACGATACGAGTCATAAATTGCAGCTTTTTGAATTTGTAAGGACGCCACGTTCTTCAGTATAAGTCATTTTTAACAATTTTCTCTTTATAGACGCAACGATCAAAAGCGATCAAAAGCTATCAAAAGCGATCAAAAACTATATTTTTTGCCGTAAGCCTATACCCCCTTTCATTTTTCACGAAAAAAACCTTTAAAACTGATATATCGGTTTATAGTAAGTCTCATATTGTTCCAAGCAAAGGTTTATAAGTATATCAGTTAAAAACAACCAGGTCATCATAAAAATAAAGAAAGATGACGACGATGAATCCACTGTTTTCTGTTTACAATCGTATTTATATTTAAAAATAAAACTTTCTAATTTTATTCCATCCCCTGACTGTTTAGTGTGTTCCACTTCTCCTAATGGAAGTTTAATTAAAAATTAACTTTGAATAATGGGAATAAAACAAAAATGTTTAAAATCTTTCGAATTAAGTAGGAGACATCAAAATACTTGTGCGTAAGACATATTTTACAGCCACTTTTTTTATCCCGAATTTTGATATAGAAAATCAAGGTTTTTCATTTGTTTTGAGACATTTATTGGAAGTAAGCTGCATACTTTATACATATTTTAACATTTTATTTTCGAAATTTTCTGTTCCTTCCTTTAACCCCATTGAAAACCAGGACGTTTCTCTTTTTATTGTTTATCTACAGCCTTCAGTTTCTACATCTTGCAGTATAGGATTAGTTGAATATATTCGAGACATTTGTTGTTTTCTTGTGATTGTGTAGATATAATACACCATAGATAATAGAGATTACACTTTACAGTTCTTGTGATTGTGTAGATATAGGGTTTCTTCTATACACCAAAGATAACAGAGATTACACTTTACAGTTCTTGTAATTATGTAGATATAATACACCATAGATAATAGAGATTACACTTTACAGATCTTGTGATTGTGTAGATATAGGGTTCTTTCTGTGCGCCATAAATAACAAAGACTCTACGTTTCCTGTGATTGTGTAAATATTGAGTTCCTTCTTTACACAGATATAGGGTTTATTCTTTTCACCATGGATTACAGAGACAACGCTCAACAATTTTTGTGATTGTGTAGATACAGGGGTTATTTTATGCACCTATGATAAAAAACACGTTTTCTTGGTTTGCTCTGCCGACCATAAGAGCAGTTTATTTATGGTTTGCTCTGTTTACTACGAAAGGTCCCTATTATCCATGGTTTGCTCTGTTTACTACGAAAGGTCCCTATTATCCATGGTTTGCTCTGTTTACTACGAAAGGTCCTTATTATCCGTGGTTTGCTCTGCATGCCGACTAAAATGATATCTTTAGTTTGCGCTGCCGACCATAAGAAATGTTTGGTATGGTTTGCTCAGTCGACCATGAGCAGTCAATTTATCTGTTTGCTCTACTGACCAAGAACAATCTTTGGTATCTTTGGTTTGCGCTGCCGTCTGTGAGCAGTCTATGTTATCAATGGTTTGCACTTTATATTCTGTAGAGTCAAACAACACAAAACTAGTTTTATACTTGGACTCTGTCAGATCAACAAATTCAGGATTCTAATTTAGAAAAGAACCATGCAAGAGAAAAGAAAATAATCAAAATGTCATGTACAAATCGATTGGATACAGATTTATTACTTTAAATCTTTGCCATTGGTTCAATCTTATAATACCAATCATTTTTTTGTATCCTTTATATAATAATTTCAGCAATATAGTGTCTATAGAGAGGTACCATACCTTTCCGCTCGAATTCTTAACGAAAAATCGGCTTTTTCTCTGGTCACAGTTGTCTTTGGAAAGTGAGACTAATTCCAATCAACAGCAAATAGGCTGTTTAGTTTACCATGAAATTACCCAAATAAGTGAACGGCCCTTTAAAAGCTTTATAAGATTACAATTTAATTTCTTACTGTGTGGGGGGGGGGGGACCTACAGAATTAAATGTATATTAATATGTCCAAAATTTTTTCCCCGTGAATAAACAGTGAACCATGTTAAATGTTCAATATATTGAATACCTAGATTACAGCAAGCTAGAACTCGTATTCCCTGGTAAACTTGTTTTAAATTCAATTATCTTGTTTCCTAAATTAGCTCAAGTGTGCAACACACTTGCCCTATCTGCACAATCTAGGAAAACGGTAGTTTAAGGGACTTATATATAGACCAGGAACCGCCATATCTCATGCGTCAAATCTGTACGTACTGCAGTGGGAGGAGATCAAAACAAAGAATTCAGGGGCAACGCATCATTTTGAGGGAAAAGGGCCCTAGGAGTGGAATAAGATTGTATTGCTATTGAATTTTCCATATTGACCAGAAACCCAAAAATCATAAGTATTCGCTCTAATTTGATATATTAACTTGTTTTTTGTTGGACTGTAATATCAAAGCAGAGCAGTAGTCCTTTCCACGCCATATCTGATGCGTCAAATCTGTGTACTGCAGTGGGAGGAGATCAAAACATAGAATTCAGGGGCAACACATCATTTTTGAGGGAAAAGGGCCCAAGGGGTGGAATAAGAATATACTGCTATTGAATTTTCCATATTGACCAGAAACCCGAAAATCATAAGTATTCGCTCTAATTTGATATATTAACTTGTTTTTTGTTGGACTGTAATATCAAAGCAGAGCAGTAGTCCTTTCCTTTCAACTTCTGTGGGGGCAGTGGCACTGGGTTTGTTTACATTCCTCCCACAGTGTACAGTACGTAATATGCTTATATCTGAGTTGAGCGTTCCTATTCCTCCCGCAGTGAACAGTAATAATATGCGTTTATCTGAGTTGAGCGTTCCTGTATATAGTTCCTATATAGTACTCATCGAACTTTCTAGAAGGGATTAATACATTTAGTTAACTGTCTCTTCAGTCTGCATATTTATACTGTAGAACTTAGTTTAGCTGCCTACAGGTCAGACCAGTGCTTTAAATGAATTAGAGTTTAAAGTTGGAGATTGGCGCATTTGACTTTTTTCATTTTGTTTTACCATCGCTCGGTGAACGACAAATTTCGTTAGTTTTTTTCAATCGTTGAAAATTTTTATTATTTCGTTTTCTAAAATATTATTCATCTTTCCATCTATTTCGTTTGTTTTCTCACTAAAGGATTGTTCAGTAAAATTTGCTGTTCACTAAAATCGTTCGTTCACTTAAATCGTTCATTTAATTAAATCATTTGTTCAATAAAATTGTTCGTTCATTAAAAATAAAAAATAGTTTTTTCAATGTTTTTCTGAACGACACCATCGTTTACGAAAAATTTAGTTTGTTTTCAAATTCTGTTTGCTGACAGAAACAATGTCCATCTCTATTTATAGTGGATGTATAGGTGTAAAGAGACACGGCATTTTTAGAGTTACTAGTCCGCTTCTCAAACATACCTTTTAAAGTTTTGTAATTTCTGCCATAAAGTTTTCATATAATTTCTTTATTTTAATAGTTTTTATTTTCCTTTTCTATCAGTTTTGTAATTTTTATTTGTGTGACAGTTTTCTTGTTTCATTTTCTTAAATAATTTTTAAATGCCTCAAAATTCAAGAATAGTTTGAAAAGTCCATTTGTGAAATCAATTCGGGTTTTGAATAGCGAATTATGTTCGTTCCAAAATAATTTGCAACATCCTCTCAGTGAATGCAAAAAATTTTCTTCTATTTGTAAAAACAATGTTTTCCTGAATTATGACAAAAGTTAAGGTTTTGCATATTCTAATTTTACTCTTTTCTCCAGGAACAAGTTTAGGCATATGTTTTTACATAAAAATGTTTCAAATAATTTTTTTCTTTTCGATTTAAGGAGAATATTCAGAAATTGATAAAAAAGATGCACACACCTTAGCAGGGTTTCCATGAACGGTACACAGGTTTTCCGGTCTAGTGTATAGTTGTACTGTACATGAATTTACTTGTACAGACCAGTCTAGACTATCAATTGTAAAGTTGACCCAGCACGGCTTATGAAACAAATGAGGGCTGGTAAAATCTATGTGTGATCACAAGAATACTTTCGGGTTTCTATAATCTATTCAGGACAAATCTCCCATCTTTGCTGCATATACACAAATTCCTAGATTACATCCACAGAATAATAATATTATTGTGTAGATTGAAAAACAATTTATCTCTGCCATCGATACTAGAGTTTAAAGAACACACCTCACATAGATTCAGTCTTATCAATTTTGAAACAGAGTCGACTTTGAAGTGGAACACCGCCTTAGGCTTTGACTTTACCGTTCTTCGTCACTAATGCTTTTCTGTAGCCCTATACATATACATTTTAGCATTTGTTGTTAGCTTTGGTTTTTTAAAAGTAATTGGCAAAATTCTCATCGATTTTTACTTGAGAGCTTGCAACCTTTAAATAACAGTGACCTGTAAATCAGTTTGACACTCTTAGAATTGAGTCTTCCTTAAAATTTGTTTCACTTTTCTTTTGAGCGGGGGAAGGCAGGCGGCCATGAGCCACCACTATTTCCCCTTTCGTGCCACGTATTAGCTTTTTTCTCTTCCGGCAGCCATAAGCCACCACTATTTCACCTTCAGGGCCACCACAGTTGACTCTTCCGGGCAAAACTACTTTTTGAAATGGTATACTTGGGGCCTTTAAAGTGTGTTATTTTAAAAAATCCAGCACCATCACGCAAAAAAGCACAACTCAAACCATTTTTTCAATTCTACATGAAATTAATATATCAATATTAAAAAGAGGTCGTTTGTTTTATATTTTAGCAGGTAAACTAGGTAAATTTTCGTATTGTAGGAGCAGAGAAAATATTATAAAAATCAAATATTTACTGGCATTACTTATGTGTTACAGGTTTTATATGAAAAAAAGTTTCTTAGAAATTTTCCTTAACACATTGCACATTTTCACACTTATAAAACTTAAGTGTTTTTTATGATGAGTCATTTTTAATATTCATATTGCTCCCAAATATAAGCCATTTTTTTTATGAAAATCATAATTTAGATTTGCAAAAAAAAGGGTTTTGCAGTTTACATTAAGAGAAATCATCCTTTTTTCTTATTAACACTTAAATATGAAGATTTTAATATATATTTTTTGCGTGACACGGCTGGATTTTTGAAAATCACATTTTAAAGGCCCTAAATATACCATTTAAAAAAAGTAGTTTCGCTCGGACGAGTCAAATGTGGTAGTCTGGAAGGGCAAATAGTGTGGCTCATGGCTGCTGGAAGAGATAAAAGCTAATATGCAGGCACGGATACATGGGGGGCAAGGGGTCAAAGACCCCCCTTTTGAAAAAAAGGGGGGTCAAGAGTACCTTTTGACCCCCCCACTTTTCTAAAGAATAACTTAGAAGTTTAATGACATATTGTAACTGTTTTCGAGAAGATACTGTAATTCATTGATAAAAATTAGAAGTTTTACTTTTCACCAATCTGATAGATTCTAACCTTTAACAAAACAATAGTAGGGCTGGGTGTGAAATTTTGTGACATTTTTCAGATGAAAAATTGTATTCTACTTAGAGTTCTAATTCACAGACATTGAAAGGGGGTCATTCATTTGACGTACTATCCTGTTTTGCCTTTAATAGTCTGAATTTGTTCTGGTACAGCTTGTTCTGGCTAGTTGAAATTTGGCACGGTACATAAAATGAACTGGAGTGTACATGCTGAATTGGCATGTTTAAAAAATTCAATTTTTATAAATATTGAAATTAAAATTTTTGAAACTGCAGGTTTACAGAATATAAAAAAATCGAAAATTGACCGATTTAAAGCAAAAAAAAACACCTTATTTGAGGAATACAAAAATTTAGATTGAAAAAAACGTTTTTTGACCATATGCTAGCCCAATTTTCAATATATTTTTTGAGTCTGGTTTTCACGCAAATTTTATTGTTACTTATATCAAAATGCTTTTAAAATTTGATTTTCACTTCTATTAGTGACTTTTTTAACATTTTTTATCTTTGAATCTAATTTGAGGGAGCAAATGATAGTATTTATTTAAAAGTGTTTTTTTTCTAGAATGAGATTTCCTTGACTTACTCTACTTTCCATCCTTTTATATGCCAATATTTTTCTTGCCTACATGCCTGAGTGAAAATTGAAAAATTTGAAAGTACAGTTCTAAGGTGGCAATATTTTTACATATTTAAGAGTAATTTGCTATTTTGAGCATTTAAAATACTTACTCCCAATGTTAATTCCTTCACAACTTTTGCTCGGTACTCCCCAACATCCCAGTTTTATTAGGAGTTTGACCTTCCCTTTTTAAAAAGCTAGATCCGCCCCAGCTAATATGTGGCACGAAATGGAAAATAGTGGTGGCTCATGGCCGCCTGCCTTCCCCTGCTATTATTTTAACCTTAAAATTCACTGTTGTTTGCCTTCAATTGTTGATTAAACAAGTTTGTGAACATTGTGTATATTTGTACTGGGATGAAAGTGGTGGTTGTGCACATTGTGTATATTTGTACAGAGCGCCCTTACTGTGTTTACTTTTTCAATTTTCAGGTGACAAACTGCAGGGTTCATACTTTATTTACCAAAGTAAGAAATTTAAAATAACTTTTGTATATAATATTAGATATTAAAAGATTGGAGAACATAGAGCACATATTAAACTTTATATTGTAGCATTTATTTTTGCTCTAAAATATCAAAGATCTGTACATTGTACTGATAAATCTTCAAAAGTTCCCAATTTAATTTAGATATTTTTAAGTCCAACATTAGGTAAATCAAGATAAAGGTTCAACAAATCAACCAAAATTAAAACCAACTAGAATAAAAGAATCGATATAAGAAAGTCACAGAAAATAAAGTTTCTGAAAAAATACCTGGAAATAAAAGCTTTGGTAAAACAGTCCCAATTTTCTGAAGTCCTAGGACGAAATATCACTGGAAATAAAGTCCTAAGTTTTAGATTTCTGGTTTTTTTAATAATATAATAGTGGGGCTGCCAATAAAGTCCTGCAGTCTTGGGAAAATGAGGTCAATCCTTTATAGATGTTTTCATATAAGGCCTTTTCTGTTATGCATCTACAAATTGAATAGAGCCGGGGGCATTTTTAATGTCAGGTTTCTTTTTTTTAATGGTTATAAAAATCCTTTGTTCCCATGAATTTTTCTGTATGAGAGGACTTTTTTCCGGGGACTTTTTTGTATAAAATCATACTGGAGCCACGAGAAAAAATAAAGGAAATAAAGTTTCAGAATGGTAGGACTTTTTTCCAGAGATTTTGTATTTAAAGGACTTTTTCACAGGACTTTTTTAGTGCCAAAGTTTAGGACCTAATTTCTGAAAACTTTTTTCAGAGAACTTTTTGGCAGTTACCGGAAAAGAATACAGTGATATGATTTCCGATATATCTTTAGGAATGAATTCGCTCCACTTGTTCATTCCGTTCTGCTCTGTTGGAACATTTGCAGAGATTTGCAGCGTGAACAGGTCTGTTGAAATAGTCGGTATGACCAGTACTGGTAGAAGAATAATGCAAAATGGAGGTTTAGTTATCTCTTTTAACGACAACAGTGTAAGAAGCAATAATTCCTGGTGTGCTACCAGAGGCAGAAGGGGTGTGGTTACCTGTAAGAATAAGAGGGTTGGGTCTTGAAGAACAGGAAGTATAAATTGTATCAGACAGATGACGAACTATCAGCTTTGAGGAACAATCTGATAACCAAGATTATCAGATAATTAATTTCAAGATCAGTATCAGTTATCAGTATCAGATCAGTATCAGTTATAGATAATTTATCTGAAGGGTAGTGTTAAGCACTCTCATTTTATAGTTACATAAGTGTAATAGTGGAATCCTTACTTTGTAATAAAAAACAAATGCAATTTGCTACAAATAATCTTTCTAAATATATTTAATCGCATTTATTTTCGGTATCAACAATAAAAACAAGTGTCTGGTATGTTTAATTGATTGTTGGTTTTCAAAAGAAAAGCTATAATTGTGGATTAAGTGGCTTATTAACGGCTATCACCATTAACTATTACTAAATTATCTTTTAGTAATGCTGTTAATGAAGTTGAGATAATTTGAATGAATTGTAACTTTTAAGAAATTATCGCAAAAAATTTGTCAGTTGTTAGCAATGAACGGCTACCTGAAAAGGTGATAACAGATGATTATCTTAACTAACCCTTAACGAATGGTTTGAAAAAAGCCTTAACTTGCCCAGCCCTGGCATGGTACAACACAAGGTTATAATGCAAGGAAAGTACACATCTTTGTACTTGAGTGTACTTGAATGTACTTGAATGACGAAGCCTGACATGGGATCTAAGAGAAAAGAATATATATTAGAGTGGAATTTACTAGAAAAAAGTGTAAAACGCCCATTTTGTTGTACTGATTCCATACTGCAGGTGTACTTCACATATTTATGCTATATAACCTTTTGGGCCCTGGAACATCATTTT